CCCCCCCACTCCCATTTCCCAACCCCCCCCATAAATGATGACCACTCCCTTATCACGAAAAGGATATGTCCAAAGGGGCCGAAGTTATGTTCGGCAAAATGTATGGCTAGTTTACATTGTTTGTTGTATTATGAAATATGATACCATACTTGTATTAAAATTCGCGTCGAACTAATGTTATTGTAAATGAGTGGACTTGCCACAAGTCGACCTCGAACGAAATGCGTTTCTTCGAGGTCGACTTGTGGCAAGTCTAGCAAATGAGAACCAACAAATGATACAATAATGGTTCTAGTTCTTGTTGGTATTTTGAACGCACGCTTTATCTTTCAGTATACTGTAGCTACCACAAATCTTTTCGTGCGGATTATATTTCGTGGAGTACTAAATATTATATTTTGTGCTTTTCGAGTCATTACACAAAGAAAAACACATTAATTCAACACGCAAGAAAGTCCAGAGTACGACACAACGTAAAATACATAGGAAACCGGCACAATTCTTTGAAAATTCAACGAAACTGTGTAAAATATAGTTTGATCACTCTGTGAAAAGCCGCCATTGCAGTTCGGAATTGTGCGCGTGCGTACAAGTGTATAGGCTAATAAACGAACAATGTACCACAAGCGTGGCATGAGTCGGCTAGTACGTACATAAATACGTAATTTGTTGCTATTGTATTTGAATCATGGAACGGAGGGAATCGATGGCATTTTGGCTTAATCGTTGCACCTTGAGCCTGCGATGCACTAACGAAACTCGATTTCTCGACTACGAAAAAAACAGAAAAAGAGGGATTTAAGACACTTGGCCTACAGGCCAGTGTAATTGCGCAATATTACTAACAAATTATAAACATAGACATACCTTTCGCCGAACATAACTTCAGCCCATTGAGACGTATGCTCATTCTGGTATTCTTGATGAATGATGCAGTTAAATGTGCTTTTGTTGCCGAATTTTGCATTTCTGCTCCGAATTTGCGTTAATCCCAAACCGGAAATACGACGAAAAACCGTCAAAACAATGCGACATTTGTATCGCGTGACTCTGGAAATGCCAGAAATGGATTCTACAGGTCAAAGTGCACCTACACGTGTGAGTTTGACGTCACCCGGCTAAAGGAGCTCCTTATTGGCCTTATTGGTCCCCGGTAGGAATATTCACAGCAAAGAACTTGTCGGAGTTATGTATAGGTCTAGATATCCGCATGCTTTCTACGGCAAAGTGGTTGGAAGGTCAAGAGTACCTGCTTAGTCAACTAACTGTCACATGGGGTGGAATGCTTATCCTAACTGGAAACATGAACATTGACTTGCTTCAAGCTGAAAATAGTTTAACAAAACAATACCAATTCATCTTGGATGTTTTTGGTCTTCATTAAGTTATAGAAAAACCCACACGTGTTACGAAATCCTCTAAAACATTGATAGACCATCTTATTACTAACTTCCCACAAAGGATTGCTGACACTGGCATTATTCCCTGCTCAATTGTCAGCGATCATGATGGCATTTACGCAAGTATTAATGTACGAGTCCCCAGGTTTGAAGCACGACATAAATATATACGGGATATTAAGTCTCTAAATGAAAGTTTATTTATTGAGGATTTCTCCACTTTACCTTTGTCTGTCATAGCTTATTCTGATGACCCAGACGAACAACTAGAATCCCTGAACTCCCTGTTCTTTGAGTGTTTAGAAAGGCATGCACCCTTGAGAAGAGTCCGAGTGACGCGTCCCCCGGCTCCATGGATGAAGTCTGCCAATATCCAAACTCTTCAAAAAGAAAGAGATCATTTAAGACATAAAGCTCATCAAAGCGACGCTGATAACGGTGTATGGACCGCTTTTCGACTTGTTAGAAACAACTTAAAGTCTGCAATAAGATCAGCATGGAAGGCATTCATCGAAAAAGCGCAGCTGTCTTCTAACAAATCACGCGATATATGGAGAGTTATCCACAGGATTCTGAAGCCAAATCCGAAGCCTCTTCGCGTAGACCCTGACGAACTAAATACCCATTTTTCCACCACGGCAGAGAGAACACTCGAGGCCTCTGTTGTGTCTTTAAGTGATCTGACAAGTCTGACAGACAATCTGCCTGCACAGAGTTCTAATGGCGATCAATTTAATCTGAAACCTGTCACCCAAGAGGATGTCTTCAAATGTATACGTGCATTACGCTCAGATTGTTCCACTGGTGTTGATAATATTCCAGCCAGATTCGTCAAGTTGGTCGCTGAACATCTTGCCTGTCTTGTAACTAGCATAACAAACAAATGCATCAGCAACGCATATTTCCCAAAGCTGTGGAAAATAGCCAGAGTCTCTCCAATTCCTAAAGTAGAAAACCCAACATCCAATGACCAGCTACGACCAATCTCAATACTCCCAGTGTTATTAAAGGTGTTTGAGAAATTGGTTGCTGGACAAATGTCAGAATTCGCAGAGAGAGCTGCGCTGCTACCTGATCGCATTTCAGGTTTCCGAAAGGGACATTCGACAACAAGCGTCCTTTTGGGGATACGAGACGATATCCGTCATGCTATGAAAAAAGGGGAAATTACCTTGATGGTCCTAGCAGACTTTAGCAAAGCATTTGACACTATTTGTTTTAAAAGCACCATTGAAAAGTTTTATAAGTTGGGCTTCTCAAAGACCTTCCTGAAGTGGTGGCTGAGCTATTTATCTGGTCGTTCCCAGTTTGTGCAGATAGACGATAAATCTTCTTCTCGTAAACCAATACATTTTGGAATTCCTCAAGGATCGATCCTGGGGCCATTGATTTTTAACCTCTACGTTGCTGACTTGAATGACGTCATTTCTTCTCATACCAACTGTTATCAGTATGCAGACGATACAACCTTGTATAATCATTGCAAAGTGGCAGACCTCACGACTGGGGAAACGAGCATGAATAAAACCCTCACTAAACTTAGCAATTGGTCACAAGGATCGAATCTGGCACTTAATCCAACCAAGACAAAATGTATGCTGTTCACTACCAGTCAGATGTCAACACACCACTCCCTGTCATCGCGCCCTCTGCAGCTTGCTGTT